CTATATACCGTTATTCAAAAAAGTTATCAAATAACATAATACATATCAAGACACTCACTACCAAAAACATACATTGCCATTCAGAACGTGCAGGAAACAAATATCTGCTCATCTTCGTAACGCAGATATTTTAATATTCTTGTCAATTTATTAATTTACACAGGGTTATAGTTATTGTGTTAGTTTATATATAAGATGGGAATTTCAGGCAACTTTGTATTAGTTCGATAACGTTGGGGATGTGTGAAGTTAGCAAGAGAAATAACCTTAACAATTGACGGCCTTTCATCCTTGCAGCCACTATTGAGCAAAACTGGCCACGTAAACGGAGTTTAAACGCCTTGGTATTCTGTTAAAAATTATATTTAATTTTCCTCATTTGACAATTGGTTCCTACGTCAGCGTGCGTTCATCGAGATATAATGCACGCGGGAAGTTTGGAGAGCACGAAAGATGCTATGTTATAAATTTATAATACCTTGTATGGACTTCGTGTTCAACAAAATTGTACTATCAAAGGCAAATATATAGAACTCTTGACAGCTATTGGTTGAAAAGTGAACAGGAAGTTAATTGGAGCTAATCTCAAGCTTAGTACAACTGGGAAACATTCAGTTTGTACAACTCCATATCCGTATGACTTTGTGCCATGTCTTTCGCTTGGATCTGTTTTCTGTTACTGGATCTGTGTTCAATGATACCCAAGATTGCCTGGTCACAAGGTTAGTTATTCATGTATGTTCTTTGACAAAATGAAAACTGAGAAATCGATTCTTTCACTACTACCGTAAAAAAAGAGGCGCGATTGACAGAGGATGAAGCAACGGTGTCATCGTCATTGCGTTTTTAATGTTTCCTGCAAGATAAAGATGGCGGCTTTTCAATTTTCTGATGGAAATAACACGTTAGCATTTACCGCTATTTGCTCTTTGACATTATGGGCCGGTTATTTGCACGAAGCCAAACTATCCCAAACCACGGTTTCACCTAATCATAGGACCTCGAGGATTCTCTATAATAAGAGCTGATTAAATTGAATAAATGTCCTTCTACTATTAGCTTTCAGCCCTCTCCAGTTCACAAAGGTAAAAGTTCAGATGAAAGGTTCGGCCAAATAGAAGATGGCTTAGAAAGTGGTTTTCTCAAACAAAGGATAAACTTTGTATAAATAACCAACTCTATGTGTTTCGTGAACTGTTGAAGAGGGGAAGTAGTGCAATACGATAGAATCGCACCGTAAGAAATCGCAAAAATCTAGTGAGGAGCATATCCAGACGTTTCTGTCTAATCTTTTACAGTTGGAGGATAGTATATTTTAATAAGTTTAGAGAAGTTGTGGGCCCATAATGTGTTAACTCATTAACTCATTAAAAAAACATGATGAACTTTTATCTGCCGTTCACCCAGAATAGCTTTACGAGGCGTACTACAAACAAAATTTCGACTCTCACAAATGAAGGAATTTACAAAAGTGGAAATATTCCGTTTGCGCGGAACTTAAAAGCTAAGCACCGTAGAAAAGCCTTGTAAAAACAAATGAGATAAGTCTAAACGGACATGTTAACAGTTTTCAATGCAAATTACCATTCAATTCCGCAGATGGATGTCTCGTATCCTACATTAGGTATTTATGAGAAAATGCAAGCAGTTCCTCTCCTGACATAAACATGTTATTGAACATTATCATTCTAAAATTTGGTGAAAACAAATACTTTTCGAGCTAATTTTGTGTACAAATTCAGGTAATTCCCGCAAGTGTAAAACGTCTACATAGGCTTTCCAACTTCAAACAGAACTGTTAGTTACCTGCGTCTATTTCAAATAAACCGAGTTAAAAATTTCCTCAGCAAATAATTTTTACACACACACGAAAAAGCACTCAGCAAGTCACCTGTTGCAAAAAAAAATATTTACATTATCCTGTTTTCATCTTATAATGATATTTACCAATAACGAAACAGAACATTTTTCTTATAGGAAGTTAAGCCCCCACGATTTTATCATTTTGGATTAATCTCTGGGGGAATCTAATTTTTAGGGCATCATAAACTTTCATACATATTTTGTTCACCACGAAAAAACAAACGCCTTTTTTTTAACACCGCGTACGAGTTCTTTAGTCAAAACATCACATCTGCCTCAAATATAATCAAGAGGCAATCTTCTGGCATCCTTAAAAGACTAAAGATGCTACGAAAGAAGTTCAAAGTACAAAGAAAAAATGAATTTCCTTGAGAGAGAACGGAAAAAAATTCGCAACATTTGGCCTCAATTTAATAACTAACCGCCATTCCAGCGAACTGATCAGAGGTTAATTCGCGGGAATGGCGCTCGGTCACTTTTTCTATTGACCGGCTTCATTCACCTTAAAGGAGGCAAAGTCGAGTAACCTGCAATTTAAACGAATTCTGCATATATTAACCTATTCATTGTTATTTTCTTTATTTTGGTTTCATGTGAAATGTCGCGTGTAAATTGTTTTTTCTGAGGGCATTCGCCAAGGTGCAGAGTAACCTTAGAGGCAAAGTCAGAATTTGGTATTCGCACAGTTACGCCAACACGTTGTATAATGACAAGAACAGTAAACGAACTTTTACTATTGATAAAAACAACACCAGTTTCATCTGTCTCTCGAGTAATAGGAAGGAATCTATCCAAAAACGTCAGTTATTCCCATTCAAAGTTGCTAGTTTGCAAGAGATAGCATGTTTCTTCCATAAATAATTAGTCAAGAATATTTTAACTTATAGTAACTATCTTCAACCGACGGAAACATCATAATTTGGATTCCGAGTGTTGGCAAAATTCAAGACAGGATCTGCTTTCAGTGGACAAGTTCCATTATCTAAATGTACCCCGAATTGACATAATCACAACTTATGATGACTTTGAATATATCTTAAAATTTCTTGACCGTCCTCTCTGCGTTTCTGTGAACTTTGCCGCCGAAGAAAGAAAGTGGTGCGCGTTATTCTCCTTTTAACAAGCACGACGACTCCGACAAACTCAAAGAAAGCAAGAGTTCGCATCGCTATTCGTTTCCAAATTCATCACTATAAGTTTTTCAAATGTTAGTACTTGCTATAGATGTAAGGAACTCGCATTATTTAAGGGGAATAAAATGCAATTACCAGGAGCCTCGAAAAATAAATTTTCATTGACACGTATCGATAATGTTGATCAGTTACGGATAACGACGGGTTGGTTTTCTTTTTAGCTGTGACAGCAAATTCAGATGAGTGCAGAGCCATTCTATTCAAACCAGTCATCAAAGACAAGTATCTACTTAATCATATAATCAAATCTGTGCCAGTTGAAAGTGAACTAAGCTGTGAACTAATTTGTTATGAGAACCCCGACTGTGTGTCTTACAACTACGGGCCAGTACTAAGTGAGATTCCTTCATGCGTCCTGAATAACAGCACTCATTTACAAGTCACCAGCGTGAATTTCATAACCAGAAATGGCTTCAGCTACCGGAGAATTGAGGTAAGCCTTACAACCTGAGCACAACAAAGACTTTTTTTTCGTTAAAACTTCACTTGACACGACTGATTGGTTGACCACAGAAATGTCAACAGAAACAAAAGGTTGCTATATTTAGGCATGATTACTTGAACTCTTTAATTAGGCAATTTTACATCAGTGGGACGCGGTGCAGCATACAACAGACCTCGTTTATGGCGAAATTAATTTCCCAAATGTTGGAGACCAGATTAAATCTTAATGCTTTTTCGAGAGAGTGACTCTGATGACATTTTTTCAAAATTATAATGATGATTATAATAATGATGATGACAGTAATCCCTCAAGAAGCACTCGTGCTCTTAGCATACAAAAAAAAGGAAGGTACTGTTTCCTTTTTTTCATCACAGAATGCTTGTGGAGGCAGCCCATGTCAGAAAAATTCTACTTGTCAATCTGGGTTTACTTCAAAAGGATACCGTTGTGTGTGTCCACAAGGATTCGGGGGAGAGAATTGTGATCAAGGTATTTTCAGCTTATTTACCAAGTAATGCAAATATTCCCGCCTTTTTATGCTTCTTGACATTCTTATTTTTCTGCTTTAGAAAAATTTCCGAAATCTTCTAGAGTCATTGACTGCGTGTTTAAATATGGTAGTTGTGTATAACGAAAAACCTCCATCTTAATAATAATAATAATAATAATAATAATAATAATAACAACTTTATTTAAGGAGTGTAACACATAACAGTAATTCAACTGATAAACTAGTGGCCTTTGATCCTAAAAGTACCATAATTAGAGTAAAAATGTATGTAAAATGAATTCGAGGATTACAAAACATGTCTATTAGAATGTAAGCTAAAAACTATATAAAATAAAATATGTCGCTTGGGTCGCCTCGGTTTCGCGATTGAAACGAGGGCAAGCGAGGTTTAATTTACTATCGCATTCGGACTAAAATGTTCTACTTCATCGTATCTCGTTATAAAATGTCTGTGAAACGCCTTTCTGAAAGAAGCAGCTGTTGTCGTCTCTTTTTGTAGGTTAGTGGGTAGCTGGTTCCACAGCCTTGTCGCAGATACGCTAAAGGTCCTCCCTCCCTCGGTCTCACGATTGAAACGGGGGGCAGGCGAGAATTAATTTACTATAACGACCAGTTCGTGTGTGTAGGTCTGCATTAAATTTAAGTATATCGTACATATGTGAAGGACGGCTTCCTAGTAAACGCTTAAAAACTAAGAAAAAGGAGCCACTCTAACTTTTTAAAAAGTTTCACGCTGTTTGACCTTGTATCAGCTTCCAAGATAACTCGGGCAGCGCGTTTTTGAAGCTTGAAGACTCTCATTATGTTATCACTTGAACAGTTTAACCAAACAGTTGATTCATATAACATTAGTTGTTTTATCACGGCGTTATAGTATAATATGCGCTGTTTATTGGGGAGGAATCTTCTTATCTTCCTAAGCAGTGCTATTATTTGGGATAGTTACTTACATAGTTCTTCAACGTGAATATTAAAACTTAAGTGTCGGTCAATGCTCTATATTTGAGTTCCCGAGATGAAGATTTAAAGAACTAGCAACGATCTTATTTATAAGGCGTTTCCTAGTTACCACGAGACATTTCGTCTTGGCGGCGTTTGTGACCATCGTGTTGGCAGCCGACCACTGCGAAAGGTCATCTAGGTCTTGTTGAAGGGCTGATGTGATGCCAAGAAGTTCATCTGTTACTTCGGATGAGAAACTGAGAGTGGTGTCACCCGCATAGATGTCAACGGTAGAACGCTAAGCTGGTAAGGGTAGGTCGTTGATGAACAGGAGAAACATACTAGGGCCCAGTATGCTCTCTTGTGATACTCCAGCCGTCACAGTTCTTGGGGAGAACGACATCCGTCAATGACTACGTATTGTTTGCGTTCACTCAGATAGTTGCGAAGTAAGTCTAGTTCGTGACCACATATCCTAGAGGCATTCAGTTTCGTTAGAAGTAGATCATGGTCTTTGAGGTCAAATGCTTTCCTGTAGTCAATAAATACGAGCCCCGTTGCTCTGTTTTTGTCTAAGTTAAGGAACAGATGGTCTATTAGTCGAATGAGGGCGGTCTCGGTGGAGTGGAATTTGAGGAATCTGGACTGGAGGTGATGGCGTAACGCATTTTCCTCAAGGAAGTCGTACAAGTGGTCACAAATATGCTTCTCAAATAGCTTAGAAAGTATCGGAAGCACAGTTATCGGTCGATAGTTATTCTTGTCATCATGACTTCCTTGTCCCTTGTAGATGGGGGTCACCTTACCGACTTTCCACTTTGTTGGGAATATCTGAGTGTCGATGCAGTAATTGATTAGCTTACAGAGGGAATCAGCGATGGCTGGTGCCGCAATTCTCAGCAGTTTGGCACTAAAACCGTCGTCACCTGTAGCTTTATGCAGTGGAACAGAAAGGAGAAGGTCTACAACTCTTTCCTTTGATATCTGTGGGAGATTTAACGTTCCAGACACTTGATATAGCGTAGGAGAGGGTGCCTGCTTAGGTTGACAGCGCAAGTCATTTTTGAGCTCTGACTGAGGATTTAAGTTGTTTTTCTGGGTGAGAAAGAAGCTGTTCAGTGTCTCGGCAATTTCCACTTTGTTTGAAGTAGTCCCATCGTTATCAACTAGCCGCTGGAGACCACAATCGTGATTGTCACTCCCTGACAGGAATTTGATCAAATTCCAAAGTTTTCGCGAGTCTTGCCTGTTTTCAGAGAACTTGCTTTTGAAGTATGCTTGCTTTGTTTGCCCAATTAAGTTATTTACGTTATTTTTCGCATGTCTGAAGTTTAACCAGTCGTTGTCTGATCCGCTTTTCTTGGCTTTGGTGAGAAGTTTATCACGCGCTTTGCGATAAGAAGTTTGGAAAACACTCATTCGTAAAAACAGTTCACAACCTAAATTTGTCCCAAATTGTTAAGGGTGTCACCCGGCCATTGCCCAAAGCCTACCTCGATCATATTTGGTCGAGTCACCCTAAGCGGCTAATCAACGTGCGAGGTTCCCCATCAGGACTGTCTGATCACCTACCGACCCTTGTCACCTGGAAATACAAACCAGTCAGACAAAGCGCAATCGCACATACGACAATCACCTACCGTGACATCAAGAACATAGACAAAGAACAGTTTATTGCTGCTTTGAAAGAAGCGCCTTAGGATTGTGCGTTTGTTTTCGAGGACCCCAACGACGTTGTCGACACCTGGTATGAAATATTTAATGACGTATTGGTAAATATCTTCCACTTAAACTCAAGCGAGTGAAAAGGAAACCCAGCCCAAATGGTTTAATGACAACATCGGGTGATAACCTTTACAATTTGGGACAAATTCAGGTTGGAAGTGTTTTTACGATGGGCTATCATTAACCTCCAACACAATTTAGCATGTTTTTGTTTTTTCAAAATCGTCTCATTGTAGTTTAGAGAACAGGAGTTATTCTGTTACGACTTGTAGTGAGGAAGTCATTCGTGCCAATTTATCAATCAATTCAATAGCATTCCTGGACGGTATTAGTATGAACAAGACAATCATTAATGCACTCGTACAAATAATTCAGTGTTTTTTATGTTCGACGTGCAAGTAGTGATTTTCAACTGAACACCGATTTTGCCAGAACTTGCATTCAGTAAATTTCGTCCTCTTCATTCGCTTTCTAAAGGTTTTCTGACCGCAGGCAAAATCCCACGAAGAAACCGAATATCACTTGAACACAAAGAGAGAATCGTGAGAGGATTTGAGGACGAGTAGGAAGATTATCTTGTGGTCGCGGACACACTCGGAGTGAACCGACCAACGGCAAGAGGCATTGTGGCGCGCTACATCAGAGAGGGCAGGATCCAGGAAAGACCACGAGGAGGTAGAAACAACGTGCGCGTGGACGAAGAGATGAGAAGAAATCATAAACGAAAACTGTTTACTCACACTTGCTCGGATAAACAGTGAACTTAGGAGACGGCTACTACTAAAACCTCAGATCCATGACCGCACCGTGGCAAGGACATTAGACGGGATGCTTTTCTGAGTGAAACTTGCAAGGCCCCTTCCTGCGGACAGAAACAGACCTGATGTGACGAACAAGCGAGTGGATTACGCCACCTGGTTTATGAACCATGCCGTAGTGCGCCACTGTGTGTTTGTCGACGAATGCGGCTACAACATCTGGACGGCCAGAAGCCATGGTAGAGCGCGGCAGGGAGAGGGGGCGTACCGTCAAGTGTGCGGTCAGCGAGGACGAAACTTGACTGTGATAATGGCAATTTTGCCAATCAATGGACTTGTGTTTTCCTCGGCAGCTCTTGGCGGATTGAATGCTTCGCGTTTCGATAACTTCCTGGCACAGGCAAGGACAAGTCCCGAAGAGGAGGTGATCTTTGTGTATGACGGAGCACCGGCCCACCGAAACCCAGTCATTTCCGCCCCAAACACAGAGCTTAAAATGTTTCCTCCCTACAGTCCTTTCCTATGCATTGTGGAGCAAGCAATAAGCTGTCTGAAAGCGGCGATCAAAGCTGACATCTCGGGTTCGGAAATTCAAAGACGCATGGATAGAAGAGATGAGGCCGGAGCCGGAGGAATCCCACTGGGGGAGTTTCGAACACAACAACTGCTTGAAGCTCTGCACAGAAACATGCGCAATGATACTGCTTTATGCAGACCTATCTGCCAAAATGTTTGAATAGAGAGATTATTGAAGGGTAAACTAAAATTCAAAACAAGATAATTTTGGAATAGGTATTTTTCAATTGGAATTCGATGTTTGAATATTGAAAATAAAAAAAGCTTAATTAATTGTACAAGTGCATAAATGATTGTCTTATTCATACCAAGGCCGTCCAGGAATGCTCTTGACTTGCAAACAGTGTGATAAAAATGTTAATGAATGGTTTATTCCCTTTTTGATTATGTATTGTCTCTATTGACTTTCAAGATGGTTTAAATGACTTGACTGTTAGCGCAAATGAAAGTATATTTTTCTCTTTTGTTTGACCAATGACGCCTAAGAATGCCTACAATTGTTATTGAATGCTCATTAAAATGCAAAAATCGTTAATGAATCTGATTTACGTGCAAATGGTGGTTTTTTGTCTCTAATGATTGTATTTCCACGCAATTGTTCGCCCCTTAACGCAAATGAATGCGTATTTTCTCGAAATAAACAGCAAAAGGTGTAGTACAGCAGAGAGACCTGCAGATCACTGCATCGTGTGCGAGGATTCATAGAAGCATCTTTTTTTTCTACTTGTTATTTTTCCAGTCATTCTTCCTCAGAACTGTTCTCAAGCCCCAAAGGAAACAGGAGTCTACAAAATTTCCAATCATGGATCAGACTCATTCCCAGTGTACTGCGACCAGACAAGTGATGGAGGTGGTGCGTCAAACTAAACAAGAGAAGCTCAATGGGGTTAACCGTTAGGCGTAAAATGATAAAAAAATTCAGCCGCTAGGCGTATAAAATTGGCAAATTTAGAGCGTTAGTCGTAAAAAAAAATCAACCTCAGAGTGTTTTCTGGTGGCCACAGTGGAAAGATATTAGCCGTTAACCAAAAATAGGCCAAAGCTTAATCGTTAGCCGTAAAACCAATCAATACATTGAGACCCTCGAGTAAGGGTCATCAGTATCGCTCTGAATGAGGACCAACGCTCGAAACGTCAGCCTTTAAACTCTTTACGGTGGCCAATTTACGTTTTCAACTCAGTTGACAACATTAGATTACCCTGTTATACTCTCCCACCGACGCAGCACCGTAGTTTCTCTCGAAACTAACCCACGTTTTTCCCAAAAAAATATTTCATTTAGAAGTGGCTAACTCACTTGGCTGAGAAGGTCTGTGGACTTAGGTCATGTCCATTCAGTCAATTATAAAAACTATTTCTAGAGTTTTCCAAAGGAACAAGCAATTTTCATTAACCTGGACAATTTTTGACAATTTTTTTTTCTATTTTAAGGTTGGACGATGTTATTCAAATACATTGGAGGAAATTCTTCCTCTCCGACTGCTGACGCGTTATGGAGTTCATCCGACACATTATCAGAAAATGTTATCGCTGCCTTAGATACCACTTCAACCTACCAGGGAAACTACAAAAACCGTATCGTTCAAAGTTGGCAAACTTTTAACCCTCAAGAGGTAAGTCCGGAAAATATCTACACCACAGGGGGTTAGGCTAAAATACACCTTATTTTACAAATTTCTTATGCAATGTTAATGTATTTCCATAGAAATGGCCTGTAAAAATAAATCGGTTAGATTTTTTTTTATTTTTTTCTCATTAGCCTGAAATTTCCACCTTATGGAAACTTGTCTTCAAATTGTTTGTTACGAAACACTTTTCCAAATAATGTTCATTATGTTCCTAAAGACAAACCAAGCAGGCACTTTTCTCAACTGCTCTTGCCTCTTTTGAAAGGAATTAAGGAATAGAAAAAAATAGAATTTAAATGGTATAAAAGAATATAAACCAAAACAATTTGTTTCAGAGAGTAATATCACAGGCCATGCAATGAGATCCCTATTTGTTACGTTCTTTTGTTTACCTGACTTCCCAAACCTTAAGAGTGTATCGTCTTGGGAATAGGTATAAGGAAAGTGCTTATGTTTTATCCTTGTAGGAGAATAGTTCTTAGAAAAGGAGTTGTTTTAAAATTGTGAAATTCTCGCAAGAGAAACAACGACCGGTCGCAAGGTCAAACCACAACAAAATATGCAAACCACAATGATATAAAATATTCAAAGAAAATTCTGAGCTGAAATAAAATTGCTCAATCCGAAATTACGTTAAAAAGTACTCAGGGTGTAAGGGAGCTTTTAATGCTTCAAGAACGATTGAAAAACAAGGGTTGCCGTGCCAAAGACAGAGTGATACTAGAACCAAGCCGATAAAATAACTTCGGGCTCAAAACTTTGCCTTCTCGAGTTTACATAGAGCCATGGCATGTGGTACTGAAAATAAGTTTGTAAAAACACAATAAGAATTGATCAACAATTCTTTAAATTCCCCGATGTAACGATTCTTATCTTATCCCATACTTATGTATTTGATATGTAAACAACAGATAATTTTCTTGTCTGACTTTAGGTTCGTGTAGTGCTTTACACGAATGGAGCAGAAGTTATGTCTATGAGGTTCAATGCCAGAGGAACAACTAACGTGGACTGGTTTACACAAAATAATCTACTTCAATCACCATGGACAGATCTTAAGAGTGCGACAAACATATATCCCTTTCTCATCAATGGCCATTCTGTTTCACGAAACTTTGAAATTACAGCTAAGTACGACGGATGCGCTAATGATGTTGGGTGGTTTATGATCGGGGGACCTTACTGTGCATGGGAGAGATTTCACCCCGTGCCGGCAATTCTATACAGCAAGAAAACTCACAACATCACATGGAATAATGTCCAAGGTAGAAATTGATTTTAAAAATCTTGAAATACTTCTGTTGTGGTGAAAATTGATGTAAGAAATCTTGGAATACCTTTATTACTGTTTTTGTTTGTTTGTTTGTTTGTTTTTGTTATCAAATCAGGGAAATAACGAGATATTTCCTAAACAGACCTCCTAATGGAATGGTTTCGTTGCCATCTCCTTTTCTTCTTCAGGGTTGTGACCAGGATTTCGAAGCGGGATGGAGTGGGGGGGGAGGGTCTCACTGTGTCAAATGGAGAGTACTCGCCAGATTGCCATGTCGACCTTTTATAAATATGGTGTAATAGTGATATTTAATTACTAGGCAAAATATCGGTAGGAAACTGAGAGGAGAAGTGTAATAACTGCACGAGTCATCTGAAATTTAACCTCTCCGATGATTAAAAGGCCAGTGCTCTAGATCAGGTTTCACTCGGAAAAGGTCACTTTTACTAACTTTTTATTTGTTTAATTTTCTTTTCTCCATCTATCTCTAATTATGGATTATGTATTATGTTAACAATCTATTTAAGGAGATCTCAATAAATAGTTTACTATCTATTATTTATCGCTAGTTTTTTTGTTATATTCTTTTCTCAAGCCGACGTCGGAGGCGCTGAGGTTATGGTTGTGTATGTACGTTGAAGACCAAGGATGCCAGCCAATGAATCTGAATGAAATGTTGAGAAGTAAAACTTCTGCCTTAACGTTATACGCAAAATGACTGCAAAATCATACCAAAGTGCTTGACTGTAACTCGTTGGTTTTGAAGAAGAAGTGGCTTGTTACTGCCAACGACGCTTATCTTTATCCGCTATTCTCTCTGCTCGAGACATTTTCTTTTCGTCATCAGAATTTGACGCGAGCTTGTCAGATAGATATTCGTTGACCGTAACTTGCCAACGAAACTCGCTCTTATTAGATAGCTTCATGGCCTTTATTCTTTTCGATACTAATGCAATACCTTCTTTTGACGCGCGTTCCGCTCTCTCTAAGGAACTACTTTTCATGGCGTTCGAGGCTTAATGCATCTTATCGAGAACTTGAAACTAATAATCAAGTTGCTGCTAGTTGCCCTTCCAGATGTGTTCACAGACCCGACGGACTAACTCTTAGTTCTTATTACTCAACACTTATATACCGTTATTCAAATTAGTTAACACATAACTTAAGACATATCGAAACACTCACTGATAAACACACATTACCATTCAGAACTTGCAGGAATAAAATATCTGCTTAGCTTCGTAACGCAAATAAATTAATATTCTTGTCAATTTGTTAATTAACACAGTGTTATAGTTGTTGTTTTAGTTTTTAAATAAGATGGGAATTTCAAACAACTTTGTATAAGTTCGATAGCGGTGGGTAGGTGTAAAATTAGTAAGAGAAATAACCTTGAAACTTAATGGCCTTACATCCTTGCAGCCTTTATTTAGCGAAACTGGCCATGGAAACGGAGTTTGCGCTTTGGCATTCTGTAAAATTAATATTTGAATTTTCCTCATATTTAATTTATTCCACGCATAGACTTCTTGTTCAATAAAATTATACCATAAAAGGCACATAGACTCTAGACAGCTATAGGTTGAAAAGTAAACATGAAGTTAAATGAAGCTAAGATCACGCTTGGTGCAGGTGGGAAAAATTCAGTTTGTACTCCATGTCTGTATGACTTTTTGCCATGTCTTTCACTTGGATCTGTTTTCTGTTACTGGAGCTGTGTTCAATGATAACCAAGATTGCCTGGTCACAAGGTTGGTTATTCACGTATGTTCTTTAACAAATGAAAACTGAGAAATTGAATCTTTCACTACTACCGTAAAAAAAGAGGCGCGATTGACAGAAAATAAAGCAATGGTGTCATTGTTATCGTGTTTTCAATGTTTCCTGCAAGATACAGATGGCGGCTTTTCAATTTTCTGATGGAAATAGTACGTTAGCATTTACTGCTGTTTGTTCTTTGACATAATGGACCGCGGTTTTACCTAATCATTGGATTTCGAGGATTCTCTATAAGGGGGTTGATTTAATTGAATGAATGTCCTTCCACTATTCGCTTTCGGCCCTCTTGACACTGTTCACAAAAATAAAAGTTCAGATGAAAGGTTCGGCCAAATAGAAGATGGCTTAGAACTCGGTTTTGTTAAATAAAGGATAAACTTTGTTTAAATAACCAGCTGTATGTGCTTCGTGAACTGTTGAAGATGGGAAAATTAAAGTGCGATGCGATAAAATCGCACCGTAAGAAATCGCAAAAACTTTAAGGCAAATTAGCGAAGAGCACATCCAGACATTTCTGTTTTATCTTTTACAGTTGGAGGATAGTATATTTTAATAATTTTTAGAGAAGTTGTGAGCCCAAGTGTGCTACCTCATTTGCTCATTAAAAAAAAAACATGACGAACTCTTATCTGCCATTCACCCAGATTATTTTTATGAGGCGTCCTTCAAGCAAAATTTCAACTCTTACAAATAAAGGAATTTACCAAGGGGCAATTATTCCACTTTGCAGTACTTGAAGGCTCAGAAGCGTAGGAAAGCCTTGTAAAAACAATTAATATAGGCCTAAAAGGACAAGTTAACAGTTTCTTAATTAACATTCAATTTCGTTGGTGGATGTCTCCGTAACCTAAGTGAGGTATTTATGAGAACATGCAAGTAGTTCCTCTCCTGACATGAACATGTTATTGAACATCATCATACTGAAATAGGGTGAAAAGGAAAACTTTACGAGCCGATTTTGGGTACAAATTCAGGTAATTCCCGCCGGTGAGTAACACCGGATACTTATTTTTCAACTTTAAACAGAACCGTTTGTTACCTACAGCTATTTAAACTAAACCGAGTCAAAAATTCCCTTAGGAAATAATGTATACGTAAACGAAAAAGCAATTACCGAGTTAACTGTTGCAAAAAAAAACTTATTATCTTATCATATAATGTTATTTACCACATTCAAAACAGAACATCTTTATTATAGCAAGTGAAGCCTCTTCGTTTCTCACCTTTTTAGATTAATATCTAACGGAATCTAATTAAACGTAAAATCAGAAGCGTGTTTCAACACAGCATATGACTTCGTTACTCTAAACATCACATCTGCCTCACTTAAGCCTAAAAGAACATGTTAACAATTTTTTAATTAACATTCAATTCTGTAGATGGATGTCTCGTAACTAAGTAATACTTTCAGGAGAAAATGCAAGCAGTTCCTCTCCCGACATAAACATGTTATTGAACATCATCATTCCGAAATAGGGTGAAAAGAAAAACTTTTCAAGCCAATTTTGGGTAAAAATTCAGGTGATTCCCGCGGGTGTGTAACATCTGTATGCGCATTTTCCAACTTTAAACAAAACCGTTGGTTACCTGCGGCTATTTAGACTAAACCAAGTCAAACATTTCCTCAACAGATAATTTTCACATACGCGAAAAAGCACTCAGCAAGTCAACGGTTGCAAAAAAAAGAAAAAAAAAAAAAGAATTTACATTATCCTGTTTTCATCTTATAATGATATTTACCATCAACGAAACAAAACATCTTTATTATAACAAGTTAAGCCTCCACGATGTTTATATTTTTGGATTAATCTCTAACGGAATCTAATTTTTTGGGCATTATAAACTTTCACTAACTTTGACATATTCTTTTTCACCACGGAAATTCAGAAGCGGGTTTCAACACAACGTATGACTTCTTTGGTCTAAACATCACATCTGCCTCAATTGCAATCAAGAGGCAATTTTTTAGCATCCTTAAAAGACTAAAGATGCTGTAAAGGAGTTCAAAGTATAAAGAAAAACTGATTTCCTTTAGAATAAACGAGAAATATTTCGCAAAATTTGGCCTCCAAATGTCTTAGTTTAATACCTGAGCACCATTCCACACAATTAATCTGTGATTAATTTGCTAGAATAGCGCTTGGTCATTTTTCTGTCAACCGGCTTCATTCGCCTTCAAGGAAGCAAAGTCGAATAGCCTACAATTTAATCGAATTCTGCATTGCATAACCTATTCATTGTTATTTAGTTTATTTTGGTTTCATGTGAAAATCGCGTGTAACTTGTTTTTCTAAAGGCACTCGCCAAAATGAGGGGTAACCTTAAAAGCAAAGACAGAGACTGGATTTCCCACGGTAACGTGAACACGTAATATAATGGCAAACATGGTAAACTTTCGTTATTGATAGAAACAATACTAATTTCAGCAGTTTCTCGGGTAAAGGAAAGAATCTACCCAAAAACGTCAGTTACTCCCATTCAAAGTTTCTAGTTTGCAGGAATCAGTACTTTTCTCCCCCAAATAATTACAGTTAAGAATATCCTAACTTTTAAGAATTATCTTCACCGACAGATACTCGTACTAATTTCGATTCCGAGTATGGGCAGAATTCAAGACAGAATCTGCTTTCAGTGGACAAGTTCCATTATCTAAATGTACCCCGAATTGACATAATTACATCATATGACGACTTTGAATGCATCTTAAAATGTCTTGACCATCCGCTCTGCGTTTCTGTGAACTTTGCCGCCGAAGAAAAAAAGTGGTGTGAGTTACTGTCCTCCAACAAGTTTAACGACCCCGACAAACTCAAAGAAAGCAAGAGTTGGCATCACTATTCGTCTTTTAAGGTAAGAATCTTTCGCTATCGTTAAACAGCATTTCAACATTAAATGACTTAAAAATAACTGCTGTAAGTGATGTTTCTTTTTCCTTTAAAGTTTCCTTGTTCTTCCAATCCATGCCAAAACGGAGGAGCTTGCGTTGTCGCCAAACACAAACTGGAGATGTTCGAGTGCATCTGTAAGAAGGGTTACTCTGGAGAATTTTGTGAAAAAAGTAAGTTTAAATCATTTGATGCAAGATTTGCCATTGCGCTGCATGTCTGTAAAGTATCTGCAGATTTTCCTTAAGTTTATTTTATGGTTAAAGCAGCTTTTACAGAATTGTATCCATGTATTTTTCCCCACTCCTGGTCATAGTTCATCTGATGGCACAAAATAAAAAAAACAAACAAACAAACAAACAAACAAAAAAACCGGTAATTTACCAAATATCCTATAGCAAGATTCATTCCCCTCTTTTTTGTATTTTGTAGTATTTCCAGCCATTCAGCTTCAGAACTGCTCTCAAGCTCCCAAGAAAACTGGGATTTACAACATTTTGAACCACGGATCAGGGCCTTTCCCTGTCTACTGCGACCAGACAACGGACGGTGGAGGTGTGTGTCACACTGATCATGAATTAGATACTTCAGTGGTTTTCGTAGAAGTCGTTGTTTTGAGGTAGTGAGGCGACTTCGTCACGAAAACCTTCGGATTTAAGATATTGTAGTTCCTAGGTGATGACTTTCCGTCCCTTTCCCACTGTCTCACTAATAGTCAATGTTGATACCTAAACAGTCATTACAAGATAAATCAGCGCATTGGAGACAGTCTCGCCACCAAAAATCTGAAGTTTACCGCAAGAAGGTTTTTAAGCACCAAATGGTTCAACGCAATAAATCGCTTTATTTGCTGCGCGCCCGGTTTTTTCCTATTCCTATTCAAAATTGCCCGACATAGACTTCATCCTGTTCTTTCTGTCCTTTGCGTCACTTGGCAGCAAACTTTAGTGTCAAAAGAAAACAGTCACAATGTAATATCCAGTTATTGAGGCGTAAAAAACAAGAGAATGTTATGAAGCAGGCAGTTTTTAGTATTTAGGACTGTTTCAGTCTGAAACTGTTTCTAAATGCAAAACTTTCATGTTTTTACTTTTACATAAATTTTAAGACCATTAAAGGGTAAGCTGGAACAAATTAACATGAGGCAAAAGCGGTTAGAAAATAAATTAAAAACGCGTTTAAATCGCGGTTTCATGGAGATAATTCAAAATTGGAAAATTTGGATTGCAAGAAGCTTACAATTTCTAAAAACCACTGTTTTTGGTTCATTTAATCAAGGTTGGATGATGATATTCAAAGTTATTGGTGGAATAAATTCTTCATTTTCTGCTGGGGAGTTCTGGAATTCATGCGACACATTTTCAGAAAATGTTACCGCTGTCCTAGATACTACTTCAACCTACCGAGGAAACTACAAAAACCGTATTGTTCAAAGTTGGCAAATGTTCAGTCCTAAAGAGGTAAATACCGCTTGACACGCTTTGCTGACCTAACGGGTTACATCTTCCAAGATAGGGTGTGAGATAATTATAGAAAACTCAACACAGCGGTTGGCCAAGTGTGAGGCATGCGTAGACAGATGATGTATGACCGGCCGCGCGCCAATTTCCCGCTCAACAGCAATCTGCAAAAGGAAGTAAAGTAAAGAAAAGGAAACTTTAAGACTTTTTAAAACATAGGGGGATGTTTGATTTCGGGTATTCCGTTGATTTAGTTTTGTTTGGTGCTTTACCAAAGCTGTTATACACCTTCACGGTTTGAACCCTTTAACCCCTGAGAGTGACTAGCATCTAATTTCTCCATAGAAAATCACTCCACAATGGCACATTAAGGTCATGAGAATAAAAGAAATGATCATCAACTAAAGAAGCTCTTGATTTTTAAACAAATTCTCCTTGTTAGCACCTTTGGAAATGTAGAGTGAACAGTATGGAGAATATGCATACTGATGTTAGGGTGTAAAAGGGTTTAGTATCGTAGCCTAGAGGTTTTTGTGATTTTTTTAGCCTGAATTAACTACATCTGTGTTGGGCCGCCTCTTAAGACTCTTTTTAACATCGTCTCAATTCCTGCACACGTGGAAACATTTTATACTTGTGGTTAACTAAACCCAGAATTTCGTTTAGTGATCGTGACAGGTTTCTGCTACCCTGCGAGAGTTTAGTATCTTGTCGAGGAGCCCGGGGAAATGACTTAGGCTGAGGCTCGAACCCAAACTATAAGTCTCGCACGAAGAAAGTGTTTGTTTCCATCTAAAGTTGTTGCCCGGAAATTTTAAGTTTCTAAAATGGTTATAGATGTTACACTCAGCGTAATTACACGTTGCATTCTTGGCTAAAAGATAACGTGTTTCTCGGTTTATAATGAGCATCGAAGTAATACAGGGTACTATTTGGCTACTTTTGCCTTGAGACCTGTGAAATGTGGGAATGGCTAGGCTAGGCTCCCTTAACCCTTGAAGTGATTAACATGAAACTTCTCCCCATAATATCCATACATTATCCAGCAAACTGGTAATGAGAATACTCAAATCTATCAGGTAGGAATTGTTATCTTATCTTAAATTCTCGTAATTAATTTACAAGGAAAGGCGAGGCAGCAAGAAGGGAGAATTAACAATTATGATCATATTTGTTGGGTGCAGATCCCAGATCTTGGCTGCTTGCGCGTATGTAGGGACAACAACAGACAAAAAAAGAAAAATTAAGGAATTAAAACATCAAAAGAAACACGAAGTAAAATCAATAAAAAGATAAGAAAAAATACATTTCAATAATTACCGACCTTAATTGAAGTTATTTTTAAGAGTTGCAAAGCTGACGTCTCAAGCGTTACCCCTTCGTCAGGACGCTTTGACGAAGGGCTAACGCTCGAAACGTCAGCTTTGAAACTCTTAACGGTGGCCACTTCACATCATCAACTCGGTTGATAATACCAAATTACCTTGTTATACTCTCGCATCGACGCAGCACCACAGTTTGTAAAGAAACTTTACCCCCTTTATTCATTTAACCCTTCAACCCCACAAGTGACCAAGACAGAATTTGTCCTCACAATATCAATACAATATCAAGCAGGCAGGTGATGAGAATAGAGAAGAATATCAATCATGGGATTATTAGTTGATCCAATACCAAATTCTCTGAACTAACATCATAAGAATTGTATGGCAGATAGTAAGGAGAATCACTAATAAGATCTTGGGAGTGAAAGGGTTAGAGATATATATATTTTTTATGTCACTGTAGGCTCGTGTAGCACTTTACACAAATGGAACCGAAGTCGTGTCTATCATATTCAATGCTAAAGGGACAACACACTTGGACTGGTTTTCACAAAAAAATCTTATTCAATCACCATGGACTGATCTTAGGAACGCAAAAAACATATTTCCCTTTCACATCGATGGCCACCATGGGGTGCGCAGCTTTGAAATTACTGCCAGCTACGGGGGATGTGAGCTAGACTCTGGATGGCTTGTGATTACTGGACCTGACTGTGGCTGGGAAAGAAGACAAGGTGTTGTCCCAGGAATACTATACAGCAAGAAAACTCACAATATCACATGGAATGATAATCAAGGTAGAAATTGCCTCTGAAAATCTTGTAATACCCCTGTAACTGTTTGTTTGTTTGTTAGTGATGATTATGTACCCTGAAAAACCCTGTCCAATGGTTTCGTAGATATTCTTTCAATTTTAAAATTAATGACCATGGAGATATAACAATACCTGAAGCAAATTTCCTCCCCAGATATTATGATATATTTTTCGAATTATCCAATCGACATTTTCTTGGGATTATTCGACAAAATCCTCTTCTTCAACGTTTTTACACACTGTTATTCTGGGGTTAAGGTAATTAATCATAATTGTTAATTACAAGGACAAGATCCAAGTTTAAACTTAAGAGAAAGTTGTACAATGATGATGGGAGTCAACTATAACAAAACTTCGCAAATGTTAACAAGGTTAGAGCAAACTAAATCCGACTCGTGGTTTTTTATGTTTTTGTACACTATTCATCTTTAAAAATGGATAGCTATCAGGATCATGCTTTGTTTATTGAGATCTAGATAAATAATTTACTACCTATTGCTTATCAATGTTTATTTTAACTTTTTTTTTTCAAGCTGATGTTGGAGTTGCTCAGGTGATGATTGTGTACATACGTTGAAGACCAGAGATGCCAGTCAAGTAATATACAAAGCAAAGAAACGTAATGTAACTAAATTAAGAAAAAACTTGACTAAGTGATTGATTGATTGTTAGACCTCCAAACTGACCGACCGACCGACCGACCGACCTACGTTTCAACCTAAGCATCTAATTTCTCCTTAAAGTATCGCTGCAGATTCAAACATTAAGGTAATAAGAAAAAAAAGGAAATCAATGCAAGTAAGAAACTCTCAATAAATTCTCATTTTAAGTACCATAGGAAATAAATTGAGAGCAGTATAGAGAATATGCATATGCTGATAACGAGGCTTCACCCTTCCTCTTAATGTAACAGTTCGGTCAAAATTATAATATGGACTCCTTCTAAATATATTTGTACTCCTGATTTCGTACGGACGTTTATCCGGCAGATTTAAAGAATCAATGAATTAATTAATTATAATTAAGACTGTAAAGAAGCAACTCGGATTTGTATGAGTGGTTATTTGATATGTTATGTTACATTTAGAGAGCTCGTACCCAACAGAAATGTAGCTGGCGACAGATTAATGCTTTGAGTTGTAGACTTGATTAACAGCTGATTCGTTTTGAATTAAATCTATGATACAAGGGCTGTAATTCATTGCTTATAAATCCTCTTTACTGTTTAAAGAATACAGTGGATTTGCAAAGAATAGGAGTTCAATAAAATCTTATCTCAAGGAGAAAGCTTTCTTTGATTTCAAAAGAGTTTTGCTCAAACTGCGACCTGTAATCTTATGTTGTGATCGTCCAGGCGAGAGTAGTCCTGAACAAAACTGTTGTGGGCACTAATGACTGACGTTTCGACAACTTCGATTGCAACATTTGGTTTTAAACTATTTAGTGTACAAACTGTAACCTAGGTTTTTTAACTATAGATATAACCAAGAGATCATGATCCCCAAAGACAAAGTTATTGCCAACACAGGAATATTTTCTACAACGGTAAAGACGTCATTGCAGAAAAGGTTCCGCTGAGCCTTTCAAATGATTTGTTGTTAGCGAACAAACACGGCGAGGACGTCTGCAATCCCAACATTTCCTGTGAGATGGAATCATATCAGAGGCTTTTTTTTCAAAGGCTGAATGATTCTCTAGTTAAAATGATATTCATTCAGAAGTGAGAATTTCGCATGCGAAAAGTCAATGGTACGGATGTACGTCTGTACGTTGGTGAATACTAAGAAACAAACAAAACAAACAGAAACAAACAGGTACAGTAACAATGTACCAGGTAGTAAATGTGGATTGTTCATATAAGACCTTTCCATAAGTAAAGACTAATTTTCGGGAAATGGGAAGAAAATGCGAACTAGTAGAAGACGTGATCATGAATTTCGTGTTTTGCTCGACCGTTTTTCCGTGGCCCTTTGATGATTAAAGAGAATAGAGTGGGGGGGGGGGAAGGGGAGGGAAGGGAAGGGGGGTCAAGCCCCATTTAAGATATTTTGAAACGATCACCACTTTTGTTTTTTTGAAGATGTTCGTTCATCTTTTTTACGTCTTTGACTACGTCATGAAGAAAAAACTGCTCAGGCGATGAAATCTGGTGTCTCGATTAGCATGAGGTGAAGTAATACCTGAACCACAGAATTTTTTGTTAGTTAGTGGTACCCTATCAACAGAATACAATGCCAAAAATATTTCAATATCAAAATTACCGTAATTTTCCATACGCGACGCCATGCGCTGCTTGCTGTATTGGATACTAGGCCGAGGTGATCGTCTGTCCCAAGGACATACTGGGTGACTAGTAACTACCAACCAACCGATATCAGTTTCACAACCAGTGTAAGGGCCAGTTATCTCAAAGAAGCGATTGGAAACTATGGGACCCAGAAGGCCAAAATTTGCGGATGGGAACATCTTGAGATCACTCCATGGCGAGTAAATTAGGTTTTCATGTGAAAACCAATTCAAGTTGTCTGTATCAGTGGCATTGAACTTAAGGGAGGTGACTTGTTGACTGTCCTTGTATACAACGACGCGAACCTAAGGTTCATGGAAGTTAAAATCGACTTAAATTAACCCTTTGTAAAGAAACAATTTTTGTTAACTTTAACATTACGATATCACAAAACATGAGTAGATTTTCTAGGTTATAGGATCTTCATACTGTATCCTTAGTGACAGTTCGCATCATAGTCAACATACTAATCACTCAAGTAATTACTCGTTTCGAATCCATTTGCTACTTTCAAATTCTGAAAAAATTCACAAGTCCACAATTGTCATTAGTTCACTGACTGCTGAACGATCTCCTGGTGGCTTGAGTTCCTGCATGCCTTTGACTACTCCATTAGCTACTGCACTCAACAGTATTCTTACCCAGATGTAATAAACTATAGCCAAGTGTATTAAATTTGCCCTCATTGTCAAGGAATGATACTAGGTGACAGCCCCTCTCATGTCGCCCTTTCGTAGCAAGATTGTAGCCTTTTTTAGTAGACTAGAAGATTACACGAAGAAGTAACAAAAAGTAAAGGAAGTATTAAGCAGTATACACTGGGGTTAAGTACACAAGAAATGTTTACAGTGTATTTTAGTAATCCGAAAAGCTAACCATTGGTGCCTCGCATGACTATATGGTAGATCTAAGCGTTTCTCAAACTGCCCCCGGCACAAGTTCCGTATTCAGTAACATGAACATTTGAGAAGGTAAAATATGAATTTGTGACAGCTTCGACATGAATCAAATATCTTTCAAGGATTTCAATTGGCAGTGTCTTTCATGCGCCTTAAATCTCAAATGATTGCAGAGGCTCTTTCAGTACCAAGCGTCATTTGCAGGTAATGAAGCTTATGCTTTTAGTTGGGCATGTGTACTACTGAATGTTTGGGGTAATTCATTCATTAACCTTCCTCACCTCTTTAGGGTTAAAATTTTTCCAGTTCAGTACAATACGATTCTTGTAATGAGTTGGATAAGCTGACGTTAGGTCGAAGGTTTCGTTGAGATTTTCATGATATAGGGAGGGTGACGACCAAATTTCACCGACGTCCAATGGAGAGAGGCCACTAACAACTTTGAATACCATCGTCCAGCCTGTGAGGTGAAAATTTTATTAGACAAAGATTTTAAGAATTAAGTCATCTCGAAAAATCTCCCATCACCTAACGCTTACGGAGCAAAATAAAAAAAGAATCACTGATCTGATCCAACAGCAGTGTTGGACAGCTTAGAATGTAAATGGAAATTACAGGTGATGGAAAAAGAGGAAAAGGGAGTCACGTACACCAGTGGAAAAAATGCAATCGTCCATGTGAAACAAATGGATGATCTAGCAATTCCATGAATACGCTCGAGCGAAAAGCTACGGACGGAGTCTCCACAAGGCACTGACTACGCTCTCCAATTATATTTGCACTGATCAAGGGAAAAAGTTAGTACTGAACGAAGACTGGGAACAGATTGAGACCAATTTTTCTTTTGTCGTCTCATTATGTAACTTGTACCGAACATACAAAATATGAGATACCTCCTCCATCATATGTCTGATCACAGTACACAGGAAAAAGCCCCCAGTCATGGTGAGATGTATTGTAAACTCCCGTTATTTTGGGTGCATCAGAACAATTATGAAAGTCTGAGGAAAAACAATTAATATCGAATCAGTACAGTAGAGAAAAAACCACAGAGGCTGCGTCCCGTACAATTTAACCTCGTCATGATGAGCAGAAAGAAACGGAATATATAACTTTTAGATATACCATAATAAGATGATGAAGCCAAGTTAGTGAATAATGAAGATTTACCCTTTTTCCAAATCAAATTTATTTGATCTCCATTAACAGTCAAGCGGTTTAAAGCATCTCGCGACATAATTATGTGCTCATTGAATAAACCTTAGACGCTTTGGATTTGAAAGAAACGAACAATCGCGATGAGAGTTTCCATCCGTTTCGATTAGCAAATATTGTGTTTTTATTGAAAGTGTTGTCGTTGTCGTCGTGTTTTTTCATAAGAGAAATAACCTAAGGAGAGAAGATACGTACGTTCTTTGGCAACTAGGTTGCTGAAGTTTAATGGCGTCGACGTGATGTTTTTCATACAACGGTATCCTTTGCTGGTGTAACCCGCTTGACAAGTCATATTCTTCCCGCAAACATTAGTGTTACATGGACTCTGACGATACAAGGACAATAATTTTCTCAGAAAACCTTTGGAACACTCTTTTTTAACGTACCTGTCATTATCTATTACCTGGGGTAAGGAGGGGGAGCAGAGTCTAATAGGTGATCTATAGCAAATTGACTGAAAATGAGGGGGAGAGGGAGGATCACAAGAATCTTACAGAACCTCGTGGGGGAGACAAGATAGATTTTAATGTGACACAACCCAAATCCTCTAAGGATCGTCTTTTTGGTCAAAGATGCCATAGACTTAGGTCCAACGCAAAATCTTAAGCAGTCAGGACGGCAGCGCCGCGGAAGACTTCGATTAAAAGTTGAATTTCTGCCTTTAATTAGAATTTCAAAAATGGCTGCATACTGTGCCACACCTCAACTTCAGCATAACGTATAAAAGAAGCGGTGAGTTCCAAATGGAAATTAAAATAATTTGCCGTCGCGGTTTCGGTTCGCAGACTTCGCAAATTGAGGTGATTTCACGTTGTTGTTTTGCATAGGACGGCCAAGAAATGTACAAAGTTTTAAAACGCATGTGCTGAGCTATTGTTCTGCCAATTAGATCTTTTGTTTTCCATGTCCTTGTTGCCGCCGCCGTCGTGGTTTGCTTAAGTTCCCTATTAACGAAACTGGTTCTACTTAGAATGAACGAGTGGTAGTCCATTGATTCCAGATTTATGCATCATTTTTGGTGGGGTTTGTCGTAAAATGATAAATCTCTTGGTAATGATTTGACAATGAGTCTATTCAAGTGGCACATTTTAGTTTTGAGTAAAGGTAATACACCTAAAGTTACATTTAAAAACACTTCTCAGGTGGACGAGCTCACCTTATTGGCCTCCTTGTGCTTACACCTGTAGTGGCAGCTAGCTACATTAAGACACCTACTTTGTATTTCTCTTCCCAGTAAAAAGCACAAAAAAGAGATTTGAACGTAAGACACAGTTCAGTCGACTCCCTAGGGAGTGGATCACGGATGAACAGACCTTTATTCCCTGGTAGGTAAATCCTAACCGCTGAACCAAGTCTCCCGGATGTCGTACGTCAGTGGAGTCGCTGATCTCACACAAGTATCGGTTGCTTTGTTCCAGCGGTCCAACATTATAAGACAAGCAATTGGGTTCATGGAAACATCGGATGCTGCAGACATCTTCTCTTGGTATATCTATTCTTGTCATAACATGATTGAGGAGAGTTTTGTCTTTCATTGGTTTAAAATAAAGCAGTAGTCTGCATTCTTCTTCAGCTGCTAAGAAATGAAATGAGTTCGATGAATAAGGTATATCTTACAAAGTATTCTGAGAATGACAACAAGTTCTCAGACCTTGTCATCAGGTTACCGGTTCCCTTTTTTTTTCAATTGTTCGACAGAGAACGTCGTAGAGAATATAAACATCCATTTGTAGGGTAGAAAGTACCTTTCCTAGATTTACTTTCGTTTTGTTTTGTTTGTTTGTTTTTAACTTACAAGCTGAAAGAACTAACAAGTGGTCAGTGTACGTTTTCATTATTATGTTACAAGATAATTAGGTTTTATCGATTGAGTTGAATATGTAAATTTGCCACCGTAAAGGATTTCAGAGCTGATTTTTTCAAGCGTTTGCTTTACGTCGGAGCAGATAGACGGTTTCATGAGAGCAAATGTCGATCTACACGAGCGTTTTAAAGTTCTGTATTTCTCTCATGCCCCTTGCAAAAACAAAATACACTTTCAAAATGCAAATGTTTTCCTAAATTTGGAAGTTTTCGCAATTTACCAAGATCCGTTGTTTATTTTGCATTCTTTCTATGCCTTTTTTTTATCAATTTTGTCAAGCAAAGTCATCAAATTTTGCGCCTTCCGCCAGGGGTCTCCTCAGGATGGTTGCCTGAAAGAGAAAGTCTGGCGCCGTCAGAAAATGAAGCACTTTCAGTGCCATAAGATGAAAATGTTCTTTGCTATGGAAGTTCCATTTGTTTGTCGTATGACTTTTTGATTATAATGGTAATAGGACCGAGTAGTCAGACGAGTGATTAACAAAATCGATTTGTCAATCACGAGTATGATTACAGATAGAGTTGGACGTCACGGAGTCCTGTTACCAATTAATCATAACCGTTACAATTTCCGAGAAAAAATACACCTGGACAAACATCTCCGGCAGAGACAATGTCTAAAATAACATTCCTCTATTTTTGAAATTCCCCAGTTTTTCTTTCAGAATAAGTGGTTGTTGCTATGGTTATTTTGATCAATTCTGTGATTGGTGGATCGAGTCAAGTGGACTTAGTATAATTGTATGCTTCAACTCTCCCATTACAGGTGTCCGATAACGGTCAACTGTCTGTTCACAACTGTACATGATAAGTGAAAAATAGATCAGCTAAAGCACTAGTCACATTTGAGGAAATTGTAATGGTTATGATTAACCCCGTAGTGACATAAAGGCGGCTCTGAGAAGAGCTCGTCGTAATCAACTCCTTCAAATAAACGGAGATTTTCGTTTTTATGAATAAAAAGATGAATGCAAAAACTGACTTCTCAACTTTCATAAGAGCTGAATTAGGAGGACCAAGTCAATTAAAACCATGCAGCGAGGGAAATTCGCGTTTCATTCTAATATCAATTACTTCGGGCCCTTATTAATGGACACAATGTTTCGTTTCCTACTTTCCTTCGGTTGTATTCTCTCTCTACTTCATGGCTAAGGTTCTATCAACTGTATCCCTTTTTAAGTTACGCTATTTCCATGTTATGCATTTGTGAACGACAGCGGTGAAAGACATGCAATTCTGCAAGAATCGCCGTTTGGATTCCATTACCTTAATGTCGACTCCAGCAAAAATTGCGATCTGTCACTTTTCGTCTTATATAGACTATGCAGTACTGAAAACCATTGCCCTATTAAAATGTATCCCCTATACAAGCAGTTGATTTTGACATAAACCATTTATCAATACCTGCACTGATTGCAGTGTAAAAGTGATACAGAGCCAGCCATATAAGCCTTACACTCATTGTCGTCATCGTTGTTTTGGAGGAGTCATTCCGATGATCGTTCTTTAACCAGTTCTGTTTGATTAATTATCTTCAACGGTCTCAGCGTCTGCCGTAAGCGTAACAGCCTAACTCAACGGAGACATCGCCTGCAAGAGGGAGATTAAAAGCCTAAGTCAACGGACACAGCGTCTGAAGGGAGATTAAGAGCCTAAGTCGACGGAACCGACGTCTGACGGAAGATTTACCTTGCAGTTCAACGAGAACATTTGGATTCCATTGATGTGTGTGATTTGAGTTATTTCCTCCCTTTTTCCTGTCTTCCCTTTTTTGTTGTTGTTGTTTAGAATGGTGATTATGTCTGAAAATGAATTTGAAGCAAGGGAAATGAACTTTTGCCAAGGGAAACTCATTTGAGACACAAAATCCACCTGCCAATGGCACCTTTTATTATGTAAAAATCGAGACATTCCGAAATTCACACGTTGAAAATTGTGTTGTTCTTGCGGTTGTTCTCAGGTTTGCGTGGATAGCGACTTATCCTTTGGATATAGTTATCTGCCCTTCAATCAGTTATGCTCTGAAGTTTAGGTTTGAGTTCTGACGCCGGAAATTCCGAAAACATTTTACGAAAATTGATAGATCGAGTATTGTCGTCACCTGTTTCCTCTAGTTTTCTGATCTTCAGAGTTAATTCTCAGCCAATATTCGTTCGAATTTTCTTGAAATTTGACGAAACGTAGGGTGGACCCAGTTAAGTTGTCTAAAATGGTTTCGTTTTTCTAACTTTTTGAGATATTGCGTGCAATTCTGACGGGTAATGAGATCGATTTTAAAATTATTTTTTAAAAGATATCGATTACGCGCTGAGTTTCCACCTCCTATTTAAATTTCAATGAAAAACGTTGTTGATTTAAAAATTGATAGGTCGAGTTTTGTCGTTACCTGTTTTCTCTAGTATTCTGAACTTCAGAGTTAATTCTTAGCCAATATTGGGTCGAATTTTCTTGAAACTTGACGACACTTAGGGTGAAGCCAGTTAAGTTGTCTAAAATGTTTCAGTTTTTCTGACTTTTTGAGATATTGCGTGCAATTCTGACGGGTAATGAAATCCATGTTAAAATTATTTTTTCAAAAATTTCGATACGGCACTGAGGTTCCACCTGTTATAATTCAATGAAAAACGTTGTTGATTTAAAAAGTCGTCACAGTAGACTTCCCTATTACCTTAAATACTTCGAAGAGTAAGAATTCACTCTGCCTTCCGTAAATGGTCAGAGATATTGAGAATGAAGTTAATTCAGCTGCTTGTTTTATTTCGATTTGTAATAAAACACTGGTTTGTTAAGATGACAAAAAAGAAAATATCGAGCCTGCTGGAAACCAGTGAATGACATCACGCAGTGAAGAAGATTAGTGTAGAAACGCGAGTTTATGCATTTTGCCTCGTAATTCATGG